AATCTGCACAGAAATTGTGCAAAATCTGTTTTGAAACAACAAAACTTGGTGCGCAGGTGTTGGTATATTGTAAATTTTCTGTTTCGTTATGCCTTGGGTGTTTTCATTTGATCATTTATGGATTGAAAACTGAAAAATTCTTCACTTTTAAGGCTAATTTTTGGGTACTAATGAAAAAATTCTGCACTTCTCAATCTGATTTTGGGGCTATAAATTGAAAAATATTCAGCATGTAAGCTTGTTTTTTGAGTGTACAATGAAAATTTTGCACTTTTCACAGCTTATATGTGCTAAAATGAAAAAAAATTGAATTTTTGTTCTTCAATGCTAAAAAGCTTGGTCTTAGTCTCTTTTTTTAGATTTTAGGTCCATCAAGCACAATACGGAAGGGAATGTGATGAATTGATGCCGTGTATACTTTTTAATTTGCATTCCTCATCCTTTCTTTAGTTGCATTCCCCTTTCCCCTTCTCTCCTCGCTAAGTGTGTGCTACTTAATATTGTCATATCATATAGATGCATTGAGGACTATGCATAATTTAAGTGTGAGGGGAGATTCTCATGTTTGTTCTGTTGTTTTGGGAGGTTGCTTTTTGGGCAATTTTTTTTCAAAATAAGTTTTGGGTTCAAATATTTTGTTATTCTTAGTTGCACATCCTCTTATTTAGAGCATTGTTTTTTAAAAAAATGACCCAAAAACCTCATTTTTTTGTTGAGCTTTATTCTGAAAGATAACAAATGTATACTTTACAAACTCTCCTTGAGTCGTGATGCCCTTTTTCTTGGTAAAATGATCATAAAATGTTTGCAATCCTTCTAGGCATTCTTTAGAATTTTATTTTCTAGAACTGTCCATCCACATAATATCTAGTTATTGTTTTAATAACCTTGTGTGATCTTTAAAAGTTGAAAAGAAACAGTTTTAGGAGCCCTTTTTATTTTTTAGAAAATTGTGTGATTTTTTTCTAGGATTTTTTTGTTGAATCTTGCTACCGTTGCCATTGAGCCGTTTGAACCATAGATACTCCTTAGGAAACTTTTTTGTGGCAACTTTAGAGCATTTTTTAGAACCCAAATAATCTATAACTCTTCATCTTTGTAGGATTTGAAGCTCACTTTGCTTTGAAAAAAGTTTTGAGCATAAAGTTTTAAGTGTGGGGGTGTAAGGTGCATTTTGTTCTTCTTGATGATAGAAAAAATTTAAATGGTTTCTCTATTTGGTCTTTTGAACGAGGACATTCAAGTATTAAGTGTGGGGGTATCAGATAAGTTGGTTTTGGGTTAGTTCTTTTTATTCTTTTTTAGGTATTTTTAATAATTTTAGATTTTAATTTTTAGTTTTTTAGCTTAGTTTTATTTTAGTGTTCATTTTTACACTCTTTTTATTTTCTTTCATAAATAGTAGTTTTTTAATTATTTTTCTTACATTCTATTATTTTTTTTCCTAACCCAAATTATCAGATATCTTATTTTTTGGAGAAAAGTGTAGCAAAAGGCCAAAACAGAGTTCAAGTTTGAAAAAGAGAGATTGATTTAGGGCCGGAGCCCAAACCCAACATTAAAGAATCAGCCCAACAGCTCTCTCCCCAATTCAATTTCATGCACGAAAAACAAAAGAGGAGATCGCCGACTTCTTCTTCTTCATCGCGCAAGAGGCGGAAGACCAAATCAATACAATGCTCCAACCTTTGCGACAATTAATCATCCAACGTGAAGAATTTCAACGGGAAATCTTCTTGCTATAAATTGAAGGCAAATTGCACAATTCACGGGGGGAACAACGGAGAGGAAACACAGAGAAGTGAGCAGCGAGGCGACAAGGCTAAGTCCGGCGGCAGTAGCTCCGGGCAGAGGCAAGACCGTGGTTCCTCCATCACAGCTCCAATTCCTTCAATTTCTTCTTCTTCTTCTTCATAATTTGGTAACCCTTGTTTGTCAATTTTTATCTTTTCCTCCAATTCTAGGTAAAAGTTTGTTTTTTATTCGACTTTTACATTTTAGTTTGTTGTTGTGTTAATTTTGAAAATTAAAAAAACTGGTTAGTGTTCTTTTTTTGGGATTTTTTAATGTTTATATTAAATTCCTTTTTAATGAGAATTGATTCAAACTAGTTTTTCTTCAATTATTGAGCAAGTTGTTGTTGAATTGGTTGAATTGCATAATTCAATTTCATAAGTAGGTTGATATGTGAAATTCGGTTTTTGTTGAAGCTATTTTAGCTGCATAAGGTAGTTAAATGAACTCCGGATTCATACGTGATTCTTTATTGTGATTTGTGTTTGTTGATTTTAAGAATTTTGGACTTCTTAGCCCCATAAGATGATTCATTTTTCTTAGAATTTGTTATTGAGTGATTGTTATGTTTTCGTTTGTTTGTTTGTTGTTTTCATAAAATTAAGGTTGTTTAAGCTCAAAAACAATTCTTGATTTATTGAAATAATGTTGTGTTCATTTATGTGAATAGAAAAGTTGTCATTGATATGAGAAGTTTATGGAAATATGTGAAATATGCTCTTTATTAGGAGAAAAAGTTTATTTAAGTGCATAAGGTATTGACGATTTGTGAATAGATTGTGCATGGGAGTTGAATGAAAAAAATTTCGCTCTTTTATAAACTTTTTCTATAGTGGAAGTATGTTTTCATGCTTGATTGGTGAGTTAGGGTTCTATGGTATATTTCAAAATGGACCTTTGAATTTCATGACTCACCAAAAAATTCGCCCATTACACCAAAGGATTTTTTTGGAAATTCAATACCAACATAGACTTACCTTAAATCTCTTAAAAATCAATAATTTCCATGTTTTTAGAACCGGAGAGTTAATGAATTATATATGGAGAATCTCTTGTTATAAAGTCCATAGGGTCTTAGGGTTTAAATATTTTCTCCATTTTTAAAGTTGAAGGAGTCATTCCTAGATATAAACCTGATTAAACTACAAACTTGTTCCATAGAGAAATGGTATGCTTCAGAATTTATAATTTTTTTAGAAATGTATAAGTAATTTTTGATATGCTATATTTGTTAGTCTTTGTTTGCTAAGCATCGTGCTTTGATGTTAACAAACAATATAAGATTTTAACGTTTGTTTGAGTGTTTCAGGTACAACAAAAATCTATTAAGATTCGGTTCTACAGAATGAAGTCGAAACACTAAACTAGCGTAGAATATAGGTAGAAATCGATGTAAGGATATGATTTTATATACCTATATTCACAAGCTCAAAAGAACTCACAAAATATGTTTAAAACCTTCTTATAATCATTTTCAAACATCTAAAAGGTTTTAAACAAAATTGGAAACGATTTGGACAAAAATGAAAAAATCATCAAAACGGTCAGCAGGTGCCTAGGTACTGTAAGGGGTACCGTGAGTCAATCTGAGAAGGTACCCCCTACCATCAGCCCAGGACCCCCTACCGTCACGACGGGACCCCCCTACCGGAAGGGGTACCGTAAGATGACAGCTACCGCCAAAGAGTTTTGGCCTGAGAAGGTACCTAGCTACCGTATGGTACCTAGCTACCGTGACAGGGTACCGTAACCTTTAGAACACTATTCCTGATTGTTGAATTTTGAATTAAATCAACCCTTATCCCCTCCCAACGGCTAATTAACATCTTCCACTATAAATATAGGCCTTGTACTTCATATTTCAACAAGAAACAAAGCTCCAAACATCTTCTCTTTATATTTTAAGTGCGTTCATCATTTTGCTCATTATTTTCAATATTTTGGCATTTTTAAGAGCCTCACTCTCCTGATTTTTATAAACACACTTTGAGCTTGTGTTTCTAGTTATATACTCTCGTATTCATAAATTTATATTGTATTTTTGAGAGAGTATAATTTCCTTCTACACCGGCTAAGTTTTGTTCTTCATTTTTATATTCTAGCTGTTGTGTAGAATCCTCTTTTGTGTTCTTCAAACACACCTTCTTACGGTCGAGAATAGCCGTTAAATTCTCACATTGTAACAGTCAAGGATAGCCGTATAAATCCTTGGGTAAAGGTTCAAGGATAGCCTTTGAAATCCTTGGGGGAACGGTAGAAGATAGCCGTTAAATCTTCATTGCAAATGGTTCGAGATAGCCGTAGTAAAATCTCGGAGTGAATCCTATTGGCAAGGGTTGTTTGCCAAACTAGTGCGGTGCTTTGACGGAGTTCAAGAGGCCGGAACTTAGTGGATTCAAAAATCCTTGAGGAGGAGCCTCGAGGTACTGAAGTAGTGGGTTTCCCAAACGAGTATAAAATTAGTGTGCATTTTACTTTACGCTTTTTTTTCTGTGTTTTATTCATTGCTTCCGCATTTGCCAACACCGTTTTTATCAAACTGCAAAACGCTTTTAAACGCCTTATTCACCCCCCCCCCTCTAAGGCATGGGCACAACGACTACAACCGACTAACAATTGGTTCCGGAGTGTTTTCGTAGTTCAAAGTGATTAACCGCATCTACGAAAAAGAGCCACTTGTTCTGTCCCTTTTAAAATTTGAATTTTTTTAAAGGTTTATCACCCCCAATTTTTAAATAACAAAGTTTTTGAAAAATGGCCTCAATGGAATCTCAAAGCATTCACTGCCCTCCGTTTTTCAATGGCCAAAACTATTCTTATTGGAAAATGCGGATGGAATATTTTAGTCAATGAATTGATTTTGATTTATGGTTGGATGTACTTCACGGGCCATTTGTGCCGAGAAATGGTGATCTTGCAGGTTTGTCTTCGGAGGACAAGAAGAAGCTATCAATGAATGCAAAAGCAATTAACATTTTGCATTGCTCTCTTGGTCCCGATGAATTCGCACGTGTTTGCTCTTGCAAAACGTCTAAAGAGGTGTGGGATCTACTTCAAACTACATGAAGGAGACACCTCAACAAAACAAACCATGCTAGTCCTTGGAAATTCGGAATACGAATCCTTCAAGAAAGGGCCATGCGAGACAATTCAAGATATGAACAAAAGGTTCAACGAAATCGTTAACAAGTTAAGTAAGTTGGGTAAGACATATACTACATGCGAATTGAATACAAAGATATTATTTTCTTTACCTAAAGAATGGCATAGTAGTATAGTGGATTTATTACCAAAATGTGATAAGGCCGAAACCGCCCACATTTGGTCTTCCTTGTATTCTCACGAGCTTTTGTTGAAAAAGATCAAAGAGAAAGAAATGCGTGAAACCCCTAAACTTATGAACCTCTTCAAAGCTTCAAAAAACTCAGCAAGTGAAGAGTCAAGCGAGTCGAGTGATGATTCAAGTGACTCAAGCTCTTCGGAAGAGTCAAATGATGAAGAAGATGAAGAAAAAGCAATGAGAATGAAGTATATGGATTTTCCTCAAATGGATAAAGTATGTGAAGAGGAAAGAAGTATATTCAAAACCAAAAAAAGAGCGGCATAAGTCAAGGTAAGTTTTTCTTGCCTATTGGGATAAGATATTTTGGTTGTTTCTAAACGTTTTAAAAAATAGAACCTTATCCCATATGTGCTTAAATTTACTTTAGCCTTGGTTTGCATAATTAAGTAATTTTTTGAAATTCATTTTTTTCATGTCTTTTAGAAAATAAACCCCAAAAATCCCTGAAAATAAAGTTTTAAACTTGCATCATTTTAGGGAGAGTTTTTTGTTTTAGGGCAAGTTTTGTTGTAAATGCACCATTCACCCAATGATCTCCAAACTATCATTTTTCAAAAAAAATTCATTTTGATAGGGGGGGGGGGTTTAACAAAGTTATACATGGTTAAAATTTTTAAAATGCCCTTTTTGATTTTGACAAAAGGATGAGAAGATGTATACTTCAAAGTGGTGCATAGGCAACTTGACTTGAGTGCATTCTTGTGTGATTATTTGCATCGAACATGAAGAATTGTAATTTCCTTAAGAATATTGTGGGAGTACATACGTTTTTATATACAAACCATTCATAACCCTATACATGGTAGGATTGTATAATAGGAAATATGTTGGGTTTGGGCTCCACACTATGTGTTTTAAAAGCCCATTTGGAGTGTAATACTCAAGCCCAAATTTTAGTCCACTTTTGATGGCAAACTAAGGGTATAATTGTTGAGGGATACATCTGGTTGGACATACCATTTACGCACAAAAAAGGGGAAAAAACAGCCGCAAGAGAGAGAGGAATCCGCTGCCTTTTTCTTCAAAACGCAGGTCTGGTTTTTTGTGGTCGATCGGAGGTCCAAATCTTGTCCGATCGAGCTGAAATTTTAGGAGGAGTCTAAGGACTTGTGGAGCTTCAATCTGAACGGTGGAGATCGAATTTCAACGGTTCAATCTCAAGTTATGAGCTTCGCACCAGCTGCTGTTTTTTGGTGATTTCTTGCACTTTTGTTCCTCTATTTTGATTCTAGTGCCTTCGTAGTGTTGTTAAGGGCTAGACATCATTGTGGTGCTGTTATATTGTGCATTTGTACTCTCAATTGGTGGTAGTGGAGTTGGTTGGACCGAAGGGTCTCATGGTTTTTTACTCTTTCACATTGAAAGGGTTTTCCACGTTAAAATCTTGTGTCTCATATCGTTTTATTTTTCGTGTTTGGATTATCTTGTTGCTTGGTGTTCTTTGGTGTGTTTATTTGTTGCTCCTCATATATTCATTCAAGAGGGAAAGGTGTTGATCTTGGGCACTACACATTCATTTGTGTTCTTGCTTTCCCAACAAGTGGTATCGGAGCACGCCGGAGTAATCTGTTATTTGTCTTGATTGAATGATGGAGCCAAATTACAGCAGGATGATCAGTTTGAATGGCACAAATTATCACAAATGGAAGGGTAAAATGAAGGGTTTACTCTTTGTTAAAAAGCTGCATCTACTAGTGTTTGCTACTCCGAAGCCAGAGTCAAAAAGTGATGAAGAGTGGGCTTTTGAACATGAAATGGTTTGTGGTTTCATTCGTCAGTGGGTAGATGATAATGTCCTGAATCACATCTACAATGAATCTCATGCTAGAACTTTGTGGGACAAGCTTGAATCTTTGTATACATCAAAAACAGGGAATGACAAGTTGTACTTGCTTAGGCAAGCTATGAATCTGAGATTCAAGGAAGGTTCTTCTATTTCTGACCACTTGAATGAATTTCAAGGGTGTTTTGATCAGTTGTCAGACATGGGCGTAAAGTTTGAGGATGAGAATTTGGGGCTTTGGTTGCTGAATACTTTGCCTGATTCTTGGGAAAATCTTCGTGTGTCTTTGATTAGTTCTGCTCCCGGTGGTACAGTAACTATGGAGTATGTCAAAGCTGCCGTTCTGAATGAAGAAGTGAGACGTAGAACTCATGAGACATCTACTTCAAAATCCGATGTCTTGGTTACTAAAAATAGGGGAGAAGCAAAGACAAAGATCATGGAGAATTCAAAAGGGGCAAGAGCAGGAGCAAGTCGAGATCAAAATACAAAAATGTTGAGTGCCATTATTGTCATAAAAAGGGGCACTTGATGAAAAACTGCTTCAAGCTGAAGAACAAAGACAAGAATAAGCCAGAAGGGAAAGATGGTGAAAATGATCGCCATGTTGCAACCACGACGTCAGGTGATCTGATAGTTGTTTCTGATAACGACTTGATTAATGTTGCCTCTGATGAATCAAGTAGGGTTATCGATAGTGGTTCCGCTTTCCATGTGACGTTAAGGAAAGATTTCTTCACATCTTATACTCCAGGTGATTATGGGGTATTAAAGATGGGTAATGATGGTCGTTCACAGGTTGTTGGCATTGGAGTTGTGGTCCTGGAAACCAAAACTGGGATGAAGTTAGTGTTGAAGAATGTCCGACATGCACCAGATATTCGCTTGAATCTGATATCTACTAGTGTCTTGGATAATGAAGGTTATATGAGTACCTTTGGTGATGGGCAATGCAAACTCACTAAGGGTTCTCTTATTGTGACTCGTGGGAAGAAGTGTTCAGGTTTATACTGGACCAATGCTTCAGTCTTTGTTGATTTTATCAATGCAGTTGAGAGTGATAGTTGTTCAGAATTATGGCATAGAAGTCTCAGTCACATCAGTGAGAAGGGACTTGATTGTTTAGCCAAGAAGAATGTTCTGTCAGGAGTGAAGGATGCAAATTTAAAAAGGTGCAGTCACTGCTTGGCCGGGAAACATAACAGGGTGTCCTTCAAAAGTCATCCATCTTTCAGAAAATCAGAGTTGCTTGAATTGGTACATTCAGATGTTTGTGGTCCTATGAAGACAAAGACGCATGGTGGTGCACGTTACTTTGTGACATTCATTGATGATTTCTCAAGGAAACTATGGGTGTATGCCTTGAGGTATAAAGACCAAGTTCTTGGGGTCTTTAAATATTTTCATGCTTCCGTTGAGAGAGAAACAGGAAAGAAGTTGAAGTGTATTCGCACAGACAATGGTGGTGAATACCTTGGCCCGTTTGATGACTATTGTAGACAACAGGGCATCAGACATCAGAAGACGCCTCCCAAAACTCCACAGCTCAATGGCCTTGCAGAAAGGATGAACAGAACATTGGTGGAGAGAGTCAGATGTTTACTTTCAGAAGCACGTTTGCCTAAATCTTTTTGGGGTGACGCTTTGTATACTGCTGCACATGTAATTAATTTATCACTTGCTACTGCTTTACATGGAGATGTTCCAGATCGAGTATGGTCCGGGAAAGATGTTTCTTATGACCATTTGTGTGTTTTTGGGTGTAAAGCTTTTGTACATGTGCCAAAGGACGAGAGATCCAAATTAGATGTCAAGATGAGGCAGTGCATCATTGTTGGCTATGGTCATGATGAATTTGGCTATAGACTTTATGATCCTGTTGAGAAGAAGCTTGTCAGAAGTCGTGATGTTATCTTTATGGAGGATCAGAATATTGAAGATATTCAGAAGATGGAGAAGTCAGAGTCTCAAAGTTATGATGATCTTGTTGATTTGAATCCAACTCCCGTGGCTCATACGCCTAATGCTACCAATGGAGATCAGAATGAAGATAACAGTCATGTTCCACATGATTTTGCCGATGGTAATGTTGAAGAAGAATCAAATGAGGTACATAATCAACCTCATGTTGATACCAATTCCCCTACAGTGGCTCTCAGGAGGTCTACAAGGGAAAGAATTCCCTCTACTCATTATTCTACTAATGAGTATGTGCTCCTTACTGACGGGGGAGAACCTGAGTGCTATGAAGAGGCTATGGAGAACGAGGATAAGGATAAATGGGTTGAAGCAATGAATGATGAAATGAAATCATTGCATGAGCTTCGCACCAGCTGCTGTTTTTTGGTGATTTCTTGCACTTTTGTTCCTCTATTTTGATTCTAGTGCCTTCGTAGTGTTGTTAAGGGCTAGACATCATTGTGGTGCTGTTATATTGTGCATTTGTACTCTCAATTGGTGGTAGTGGAGTTGGTTGGACCGAAGGGTCTCGTGGTTTTTTACTCTTTCACATTGAAAGGGTTTTCCATGTTAAAATCTCGTGCCTCATATCGTTTTATTTTTCGTGTTTGGATTATCTTGTTGCTTGGTGTTCTTTGGTGTGTTTATTTGTTGCTCCTCATATATTCATTCAAGAGGGAAAGGTGTTGATCTTGGCCACTACACATTCATTTGTGTTCTTGCTTTCCCAACAAAATAATATATGTACAATAAATATAGAATATATTTAACATAAATATAGAATATATTTAACATGCTCCCGGATACGTCGGCATCGGTGGAGGGTGAATCCCAAAGCTCGTGCGAAAATCCGTGAATAGCATGGACGGGAGGCCATTTGTGAATATGTCGGCATACTGCGATGAAGACGGCACATGGAGGACTCGAATCTGGCCAAGAGCTACCTTGCCACGAACAAAGTGAATGTCTACCTCAACATGCTTGGTGCCCTGATGCTGGACTGGGTTGGTGGAAAGATATACAGCACTGACGTTGTCACAGAAAATGAGTGTGGCGCGGCGAAGGGGCTGCTATACCTCTAGAAGGAGATTACGGATCCAGCTGGTTTCGGCAACGGCATTGGCAACGGCTCGATATTCAGCTTCTGCACTGGAGCGAGAAATAGTGGCCTGACGTTTGGAGGACCAAGAGATTAGGTTTTCCCCCAGGAATACACAGTAGCCAAATGTGGATCATCTAGTTTCGAGGCACCCCGCCCAATCGGCTTCAGAGTAGGCTTGGAGAGAATCTGTGCTGGAGGGAGATAGAGTCATACCGTAGGTGGAGGTGCAACGGAGGTAGCGGAGAACGTGCTTCATGGCCGTGATGTGGACATCTCGAGGGGCGTGGAGATGGAGACAGAGCTGTTGAACGGAGTAGGAGATGTCTGGCCGAGTGAAGGTGAGGTAATGGAGGGCACCAACAATTGAGTGGTAGAGAGGTGGATCAGCTGCCAAGGAGCCTGATGTGTCGGACAGTTTAGCCTTTGTATCAACCGGGGTGGAGATGGGACAACAAGTAATCATGCCAGCACGCTCAAGGATGTCGTGGACGAACCGTGTCTGATGTAAAAAGAGACCATGAGCCGTCCTATGAACATTAATGCCCAGAAAGAAATGAAGGTCGCCCATGTCAGTCATACCAAATTCTCCCTTAAGGTGCTGAGTCAGGCGTGGTAGTAGGGAGTCGGAGGAAGCAGTAAGGAGAATGTCATCCACATAAAGAAGCAGGTAGGCAGTATCCGTCCCATGAGAGTAGATAAAAAGAGAACTGTCAGACTTGCACCTGCGAAAGCCCAGTGTGCAGATGAGCCAAGCAAAGTGTTGGTACCACGATCGTGGAGCCTGCTTCAAGCCATAAAGAGCCTTCTTGAGCCTGCATACGTAATTGGTCCTGTGGGGATCCTGGAACCCAGATGGTTGGGAGGCATAGACAACTTCCTGTGGGTGGCCATGAAGGAAAGCATTTTTGACGTCCAACTGATGAATCGGCCATCCCCGAGAGAGAACAAGGCTAAGAATAATGCGGATAGTGGCCGGCTTGATCACTAGGCTGAATGTCTCATCATAGTCGACTCCGAATCTCTTGTTGAAGCCCCGAACAACCCATCGATCTTTGTGCCTGGTTAACTCACCTGTAGGGCCAAGTTTGTGCCTAAAAAGCCATTTTCCGGTTATGATATTTTGGTGAGGGGAGGGGTACTAATTCCCATGTGTCATTCTTAATCAATGCATTAAATTCTTCACACATAGCATTGTGCCAATTAGGGTCTTTGAGAGCACTACGGTAGGTGAGAGGCAAGGGGGAGATGGGAACAGTGGTGTTTAGGTTGAGGATGTGTTTGGGACAGGTTATGCCAGTTTTTGAGCGCGTGATCATGGGGTGTTGATTGATGGTGAGAGGGGGAATGGTGGGAGAGATTTGGGGGTGTAGGCCGTGGGAGGTGGGCTCGGGGGCGGGGTTGGGCTGGGNGTTCGGTGGGCCGAATGGGAAACGGGGCTGGGCCGTAGGCCTTGGGCGGGGATGGCTGTTTTGGGCCGTGGGAGAAAAGGAGCGAGGGGAGGGTGGGCTGTGTGGTTCGGTGGGGGTGTGGGCCGAGTGGTGGGAGTGTGGGGAGGGGTTGGGTTGGTTGGTGGTGTGGGGTAGGGCGTCCTCCGTGGTGTCGAGGAAGTTAAAATCGTCAGCTGAGGGGTTGTGGGCGTAGGGAAAAACACTTTCATCAAAGGTGACATGACAGGAGATGATGATTTTGTCGGTTTGGAGATCTAAGCAGCGGTAACCGCGTTGATGGGTGGGGTAACCAAGAAAGATACACCATGTCGAGCGTGGGGCAAGTTTATGTGGAGCGGTGGCTGAGGTGTTCGGGTAGCAGAGGCAACCAAAGACACGAAGATGGTTGTAGGTGGGTGGAGTGCGGAAGAGAATGGTGTGGAGAATTTGGTTATTGAGTGTGGTGGTTGGGGGGAGGTTAAATAAGTGGGCGGTCATATGGAGGGCCTCCACCCAGAATTCTGGGGGAAGGTGGGCTTGGAAAAGGAGGGTCCGGATAGTATTGTTTATGGTGCGGATGGTCCGCTCGGCATGGCCGTTTTGTTGGCTTGTGTGAGGACATGAGAAACGGAATGTGATCCCTAGGGAGTTGAATACAGAGCGGAGGGGGGAGTTACGATATTCGGTGCCATTGTCACATTGAACATTTTTAATGGTAGTGTTAAAATGATTTTTGACATAGTTAATAAAAGAAGTGAGATGAGTGAAGACATCAAATTTTTGTTTTAAAGGAAACACCCAAAGATAGCGAGAAAAATCATCTAACAATAACATGAAATATTTAAAACAAGTAATACTAGGGACATGGGATTGCCATAAATCACTATGTTATAATTCAAAAGGGAACGAGGAAACACGACATGAAGGATAAAATGGGAGACGAACATGTTTTTCCATTTGACAAGCATGACATAAATTATTATTGGTAGAAGATTTAAAAAGACTAGAGACACTGGAGACACCATAAAGAATCGCCGGGCTTGGGTGGCCAAGACGCTGATGCCATGTGTGGATGTCAACGGGCGCACTGTGGGCCTGAGCTGGGGGCGCAGGAAGCAAGGGGTAGAGTGGGCCGGTGTTATTGGACCGATGTATCACGGTTCCAATCCGAACATCCTTCACAGAAAAACCATGTGCATCATAATATGTGGTGAGATGAGGATATTATTGAGGGGGGGGGGGTTGTGGGAAGGGTATGGTTTCCCACCACTACAGTGCTCACCTTAGAACCATTGCCAACAATAATATGTAATGGAGAATTTAAGGATTAAAAAGAGACATGAGAAATAGTACTTGGATCAGAGGCAATGTGATGCGTGGCTCCTGTGTCAAAATACCATGTGGGTTCCCGAAGGGTCATGGTATCAAACTGGTGTGCTAGGGCTGTGGGTGTGGGGTTGGGAGCCTGCGGGTGGGGGGTGGTGGCTGCGGGTAAGGTGACGGGTTGGGGTGGGCTGTCGGGTAAGTGGGTGGGACTGGGGCAGGGTAGGTTGTTTGGCCATAGGGTTAGGGTGAAATGTTTGGGTTGTAGGTGTAATGGGCATAGGCATTTGGGTTGGTGGTGTTGGGTGGGCGAGGGCCAAGGAGACCCGAGCCGGGGTTGGGATTCGGTGAGTTCCAAGGTACGTGATCGTATGGGTGTCGTTGCGGGCCAGAGTTTCTTCCTCGTCCATGTCCACGGCCGCCTCCGCCTCGACTTTAGGGGAACGGTAGAAGATAGCCCTTAAATCTTCACAGTAAACGGTTCGAGATAGCCGTGTGAAATCTCGGAGTGAATCCTATTGGCAAGGGTTGTTTGCCAAACTAGTGCGGTGTTTTGACAGAGTTCAAGAGACCGGGACTTAGTAGATTTGAAAATTCTTGATGAGGAGCCTCGAGGTACATGAGTAGAGGTTTTCCGAACCAGTATAAAATCAGTGTGCAATTACTTTACGCTTTTATTTCTGCGTTTTATTCATTGCTTCCGCATTTGTCAACACCGTTTTTATCAAACTGCGAAAAGATTTTGAACACCTTATTCACCCCCTCTGGAAGTGTGAATTCATCTGAACTCATATATCACACGTGAGTTCTACAATATGTTTTCTCAAACATTATTTTATATATTTTAAACCTGTTGAAAGCCCAAATAATCATTTCTACTTTAGTCGTCGATAACCGAATTCAAAGCTCATGCATCAATCAAGCAAGCTATTCACCAATCTATCAACATTTTCATATGACATCTTCAACAAGCTTCAACATATATATTGATGAGCGTGTGATTAACGTGCTCCTAAATCTAGTGTACAGAGACCATTGATACAATGTTTTTTAAAATTTAAGGACCATTTGGGCACATTTTAAAGTTTAGAGGAAATTGTGTAATTTTTGAAAAGTTCTATGCAAATGTCTTTATACTTTAATTAAGACAAATTACGTATTGTGAAATGCACTGGCATGAAATTATTAATATTTTCACTCTAATGTGATTATAACTTTTAAAAAAGCTACGTCAAATTCACTTAGTCAAACATATTACACCCGGTTATGCATATTTCAGAATGAAATTCTTTCAAATATCATGATTGTATGTCAGATTAATTATAGAGTTCATCACTAATACATGTTGACTTTATATATAATTCTATATTTAAATTTGGTTTTAGACAGTTTTTTATGAAAATATTCTATATCATTTTTATATTTTGGAATAAATCACTTAAGTCTTAGTCTTTTAGGTTGGAAAAACTAATTTCCAACACATTCCAGTTTCTTCTAACAACAGCTTAAAAAAATATTTATATATTATGAACATACATTAACATTATATATACAAATTTATAACGTATAACCTCAAACACGGAGAAAGGTGATTCTTTTAATCCTAAATTAGAATTTTCTTACATATATATTTGTGTGATAATATAATTGAATGATTTTTTTTATATTTAATTCTTCTAACATTTTCCACTTATTTCCAGTTTCTTTAACATCTTATAATTCTTTCAATATCTAATTGTAAAATTCTAACCCCAGAAGAACAAAACTTTAGTCCAAAAAACAAA